GAAGATCTTCTTTAAGAATGCACTTTTGCAATGAGCTGCAGAGTGTTCTCAAGAGATGTCAAGTTTAGGTTTTTTTTTACAGCTTTTGCTTGGACATTGAGGGGGCTGGCAGGAAAGTGGACCTGGCTTTATTTTTGAAAAGTCTGAAACATAAAAACATAGAAGAGTGACAGCATAAAATCAATCAAGTGGACCATCAAATTTGCCCACATTTATATATATATGATTTTTTTTTGAGGGGGGGTGTTGGGTTCATTTTTACTTTTTTAGTATAGATACTGTATATGTGTACACACTTGTCCCAAGCATATTTAAATCCACTAACTGTCGACTGACTCACTACCTCTGCTGGAAGTCAGCTTTAAATCCTTTTTCTTAGCTATTTTCATCTATATTTTTGTTGTTTTTTTTTTAACTGTTCATATTTAAATGTTTCTGCTTTTGACAGGACTTATAAGGGGGTACAGCTACTGAGGGATTGGGAGCTTCAAAGACCAAGCTTGAGAAAGCAGAAAGGAGAGCCTGCATATATAATGAGAAAATATTCATTAGCACACTATGGGGATTCATTTTCAAACTAAAAAAAAAAAAGCAGAGCCCTCACTGGTATTAGTTCCAGGGTATTCCAGACAACTTTTATTTTGGTCCAAAAGGATAAGTGAAAACAAGCTGTTCCCTTATTTTTCTTGGAAAATTCAAAAGTAGATGTGTATTTGTCTGTTTGTCCAGCTCTGTGCAGACTTTATACTCTCTTTTTCTAGACAGGAACTTCCTTCCTTTAAACATCCAGGCACGTGTGGCTTCCACCAGTAAACAAAAAAAAAAAGAACTTAGAGTGGATTGGTGAAGTATGGTGACCAGGGAACCAACCCACACTTTCCCAAACCAGACACCACAGGAATATGAATTCCCCCCAGAGACCATTTTTCTCTGTTGCCATTTACCACAAAGCCCCTACAACCTTGACAGCAGGTATATGATGTTCCAGACACCAGCACTCGGGAACTGTTTTTCTCAGCACAAGAATAGCATTCCTCATATACAGCTGATTTCTTCTGTATGTTTATCTAAAAATAATTAAATAGGCCACACATTTTCTTTAAAGCTAAGCATTTAGTAATTCTGTTTCCTAAAGCTAATCTTTTATTACGGATTAGTATTAGAGGTGCTGTGCTAATTTGCATTACTGCCTTTTACTACATTATCACTGTTAGCTAATTATTCAACCTTATTGTTAGTAATAAATCTAATGAGAGTGCCAGACCAAAGAACTAAGGGTCCGTTCCCACTAGTGCGACTTGTCATGCAACGTTGAACACATAAAGTGGCATCAAAATAACAGTTCTTAAATAAAGTCCAACTGCTGAGGAGGAACAACAAAAACAAAGAGTCTCCACTAGGTGTAGGAACTGAATCCAAAAGCCATGAGAAATCATCCATGCTGTGAAACATCACCAATATGCACTCACCAGAAAGTAAACCATAAAGAGCCTAATATTTCACTCCAGCCAGCATAGACATCCCCTGGTCACTCCTTGAATCTGGGCAGAATAGTTTTGAAAAATGTATCCTGATGGAAAATTGCTCACCACATGGAGCCCAAGATGATGTATATAGTGTAGTATTTTTATTAATAAATACAGATTAAAACAGACTTATTCACGTGTTAAGGAGAAGAAACAGATGCGGCCGGACGTAGAAAAATGGCCGGCAATCCAAATGCAGACTTGGCGCTGTGACGTCAGCATGTAGGCCTCTTCCTGATGCATTTGGTGCACATGCATGTCCTAAAAGGAATCCGCCTCCTCTCTTATGTTCCGCTTGTATCCTATAAATAGCCTGCAGGTGACGTGACTTAGCATATGCCATGTTTATGTAGGCTCTACAGACTTACTCCTTTTTATCATGTTCTAATGGCTAAAACAAACTATAGACAAAACATACACAATTTTATTGTAGGCTGCACAGATCAACACCATTTTGTCATGGTCCAAAAAAAGGAAACAATATTATCCTTGCACCAACCACCAACACTGGTCATTAGGACCATTGAACGACAGACAACAAACCATGTCCACCCTATAGTATTGCAGCCTACATCTGACCATAAAAATACATAATATGAAAAATAAAAAACTTAATATAAAAGTCCAATAAAAAGTTGGCTATTTGGGGCATGAAAAACAGTAAAATATAAATAGCTCAATGTGTAAGAAAAAAAAATACTCATACTAATAAACCAACTGAGATGTAGCCATAAATAAAACAACAAAAGCAAAATTATAGTAATGCTAAGTGAAAAATAAAATAAAAAATATAAAATAAAATTATACTATATACAGAAACATATTAATAAATATCAGTCTCTCTATATTAAACCCCAAGGGTATCAAGTCTGTATCTTGTATAACCATCTCATTTCGAGCATGGATACTAACCGCCTATTGCAGCCCCTCCAAAGCGGATGAATCAGATCAATTCCTGTAAATTTAATGCCCGCACGATTCCTATGGCGACACTCTCTAAAGTGTCTCAGAAGGGAGTGTTCCTTAAAACCTTTTTTGATATTATAAAGATGTTCTCTCAGGTGATCCCTTAACCTCCTAGTTGTCCTCCCTATGTACTGTTTCTTACATAGACATTCTTATAGGTATACCACATATCTACTATTACAGGTGATTGGGGAATCAATGGAATAGCTCTTTCCTGTAGAGTTAGACATGAAGGAGTCAATCTTATTTTGCCTAGTACCCTCTAACTTGCATACCATACATCTATTACTAGGATAGAAACCTTTCAAGTCAGAAAATAATGATATCCTATTGGAAGGGTTAATATATTTGGAGCTATTCTATCCCTTGAAAATCCCCAGCAAATTTATTTATGGCCAGGTGGGAGGACATCACCATTTCTAGAGATTGGCCAGAACTAATATTCTACCGGTGCTATATAGATGATGTCTTCTTTCTATGGCAAGGTAGTAAGGAATCCCTCAATAAGTTTGTTGGGAACACGTTTACACGTGACGAGCATTTTTTTTTCTGCCAAAACGCTGCTGCTTCTGGACACATTGGTCCATTTTTTTCCTGCTAGTAAACGCTACTGATACTAAAAGTTTCTAAAGGTTGGTATGTGTGCATGGACACATAGGATAACATGGAAGGCCGTTTGAAAGCAGGTAAGAAAAAAAGCTTAAAATTGGCTGCAAAAAACGCCCTGTGTGCATGAGGTCTTAAAGTTGCAGCAACTTTTAAAAAGGTTCCTGCACTACTTTGATGTGACTTTCTTGTGACTTGAGTGCCAGAGAGTGTAAAGTTGCATCAAAGTTGACTTTGGAGTTGCACTTATGGGAATGGAACCTAAAAGTCCAGTCTTTTAGTATTGATAGTTTTTTATAACAAGAAACATAAAACATGCAATGTGTTAAAAGCAGGTTCGAAGATCTTCCTGTTCTTCAAAGCTCTAATATTTTATGTAGTTGGGAGCAGGGGAGGACTGACAACTCATGGGGCCCCTGGGCAATAGGGGATCATGGGGCCCCTGTGTCCTTGCCCACACTCAAAGCACACCCAAACAAGCCTATAAAAGGTACCAGGGGCATTTCATGGGGCCTCCTACTCAAATGGTCAGTCCACTCCTGGCTGGGAGGACTCAAAATTGGCACAGTCACCACAGTAATTATTTGGCATATGAACAGTGAAAGGTGACCAGAAAACATCAGCTCAGCGTGCTGCTGCTACATTGTTTCTGAGCACTTTTCGCTGCAAAGGCATGATAGGTCAGTAATAGGGGAAAGATCAGATGAAGGAAAACCATAGGTAATACCCATGACTAGTCCTTTGCCCTCTGTCTGCCTTTTTTGAGGCATATTTACAAGAGTTCAGTTCCTTTTAATATGTTAGTGTGATTTAAAGAAAAAAAAAATATATTTTTAAATTAGCAGTTTTCATTAGAGTAATATTTGGTGATCCTGCCATGAAGGTCCTTGTACAGGCACTTTTGTTTATTGTGTGACAATACTCTGTCTCCTAGTTGTAGTCTTGCATTAACGCCCTGTCACACAAGCTTCAGATGGGGACTCAAAATGGCTATTTCATTGCACACATTATACAGGCATGGTCCACTGTTTTTACCATTAGTAACCCCACCCTTAAAAAATGCCATACAATCATTGCTGGATTCCATGTAGAGAGGAAAAGTTGCCAAAAAGGCTGCGGAAGATCAGTAGCACTGTAATGCAACAAAAGTTAAAAATGTCAAAACAGTATTTTATTTTTATTCTACAAAGGTTTTTATTATCATTCAGTTATACAGACAAAGCCGTAGGTTAGACAGTTCTGAAATAGGTTAGGTAAGTGCAAAGTGAGAAAAAATGAACAAGGTTTAAGATCGTACAGTATAAAAGGTTAGGGGTCTAAACCGCGTGTAAATATTAGTAACATAGAAATATCAAATAACATGTCAAGTCATATATTTAAATAGACATGGAATATCATGTGTAGAGCATGGCATATTACCATGGGAAAGAAATACAGATTTCGCAACCGTCTGAACCAGGCTAGGGCCTGGCGGCCAAATAATCTTTTCAATTGGCTGAAAGATGAGGAAACAAAAGAATGGGAAAAGGAAAAATTAGAACTAGAGAAAAAGAAGAGGGGAAAAAGAAAGGGAGCCCCAGGGGTTCGCGATGCAGGAATGTCAGATCACAGAAGGGCATTGTTGAACAAAGATGGCTGGGCATGTGTAATCCATGGTTGCCAAACTCAGAGAAATTTTTCATGGGTATCTAATAGTATGGCCATCAATTTTTAATTTATCATAAAGTTATTCATGCGATGTTTGCCAGCCTCGAAACTAAGGATTGGGGTTTTTCAATCTCCTGCTGTAGTCAATTTGATTGCAGTAAAATGGTTGTTGCTCAGGGTGAAGTAATTCTCCAATTGGTTTAGAGGAAGGCTTCATATGGATTACTAAATCCGCAGAGGGGACATGTACACTGATCAGTGTGCCCTGATGATCAGTGTGGCGCCAGAAGGGCCACCTGTCAGTGTCCATCAGTGCCAACTCTCAGTGCTGAACAGTGCCACGTGCCAGTGCCCATCAGTGCCACATCAATGCCACATATCAATGCCTACCAGTGCACATCAATGCCACATATCAGTGCCCATCTGAGCTGCCCTTCAGTGTCACCCATCAGTGCCAGTCAATGCCAATCAGTGCCACCTATCAGTGCTGCCAATCAGTGCCGCCTATCAGTACCAGTCAGTGCCACCTAATAGTGCCGCCTATCAATGCCATATATCAGTGCTGCCTTTCAGTGCCCATTAGTGATGCCTGTCAATGTCCATCAGTGCCACCTACCAGTGCCTCCTCATCAGTGCCCATCAGTGTATCTTATCAGTGCCCATCACTTCAGCCTCATTAGCGCACATCAGTGAAGGAGAAAAATCACTTATTTACAAAATTTTATAACAAAAACTAAGAAAAAACATTTTTTTTTTCAAAATTTTCAGTGGTTTTTGGTTTGTTTAAGAAAAAATAAAAAAACCCAGAGGTGATTAAATACCACCAAAATAAAGCTCTGTCACAAAAAAATTATAAAAATTTCATATGGGTACAGTGTTGCATGACCGCGCAATTGTCATTCAAAGTGTGACAGCGCGGAGAGCTGGAAATTGGCCTGGGCAGGAAGGGGGTATAAGTGCCTGTAGGTAAGCGGTTAAAAGTCAGAATTTAGCAGTGAATCCTCTTTGAAATGTATGAATTCTGTTTGTAAATTCTGCTAATTTCTACTTGCTCTAATAGGCAAGCTACTTTGAAAAATGCATTAAATCCTGGGCACTGTGTTAGGGATATGTTGCAATGCAAATAAAAATGTTTATTAAAAATGCGATACAGCAGGAAGAGGGTGTTTTCGTGCAGTTTCAAGGGCAACAGCGAAAATACACTTTAGCTGTACACGGTGTTATGGAACAGTACAGTTTTTGCACACAGTCTCATCGATGGCGTAAACTGCAAGTGGCCAAAATGTTCTAGAAATAAAGACCACAGGCAGGTGTTTTACTACAAAAATCAAGAGATTTGGATTGAAATTAATGGTTTTGATGACAGTCGCTAAACATAACGTGGGACATTTGTCAATTCTTTTTCATTACAAAGTTACAAAGGTTACAGCGTGAGTCATACAAGTCTGCTTTACCTACTCTAAAGTGCACTGACGCTGAGAATAAATTAAACCTGACCCTGCCCACTTCCTAATGATGTGTCTGTTTAGATTTAAAATATGTCTCATCATCAATAATAAATCTGTCTGAGAACTTTGCAAACTATTGCACCTGGCTGCCCAGAAATACAGATGCACAGGTCTGCAAGCAATGCAATAAAAAAGCTGGTCATAAAAAACATGACAAACTAAGCTACTTTATGGCAAAGTTGGTGAAATGCTTACTAGAATTCAAGGAAGGAACATCATAAGGTGTAACTCCTACTATACTTTTATGTGTACAGTAGATATACATCCTGGTATTGCTTTCCTTATTTAGTTTTCATGTGTGCACAATTTGTTTAGGTTTTAAAATGCAATGCATAGCAGGTTCTGCTGCATCCTTTTAGCCCTTCCGAAACACAGGATACCTGTACTGACACACAGAATGGGATATAGAAATGGAATAAATAAGGCTTAAAAGGACCACTTTATCAATTTTATTTTTTGCTTACAGTCTGGAAATTGATAGTCCTACCTAAAAAGAAGATTGCAAGTTTGAATTCACCAGATAATTGCCAAAGTTAATCCAAGCAGATGTTATCAAATACAGTCTATAGCAGTGCTTCTCAATTATTTTCTGTCATGCCCCCCCTAGGAAGAAGAAAACATTTTGCGCCCCCCGCGAGACTGTAAATAGTATTTTTTGGGGCAGCACCTCTGCACTGCACACTTACCGGCTTTTCCCTCACTCGATTTTCGCGGGTCCACACGGCCTCGCCTCCTCGCCCGTGATTGGCCGCCTGTGTACCTTTCCTGAGCTACAGTTCTGGCGACCAATCACCGTGAGGAGGCGGAGCCGAGCGGCAGGAGTGAGGGAGTGGCCGGAGTGACGGAAGGAGCAGCGCTTCCTGGATGGATCATCGTGGGAGCCAGGTAAGAGGCAGCAGCCCTCTGCCCACCCCTGTACTTAGTGTCCCTTCTGTCGGAAGGGGGGGTGGATGGCGGCGGCACCGCACCGCGCCCCCCTTGACGGAGCCTCGCGCCCCCCCTGGGGGGCGCGCCCCACTATTTGAGAAGCACTGGTCTACAGTAAAGTCTTAGGCTCAGTTCAGACTACTGTGACCTGATCTTGTGCAAATTACGTTGCTACTTTGCCAAGCAAATTCCTGGTGATTTGCTGGCGACTTGAGTACGACTTTGTTACGACTTGATGCATGACTCTCATGCCATGTGACTTTGCCTGGGTAATCTTCCTGTAATGTCGGATCCAAATCCCATTAATATAGATGAGGATTCAATGTGGAGACAACTTTCATTAAAGTCTATGGGCACAAGTCGAATAGAAGTTGCCTTGAAGTAGTACAGAAACCTTTTATAAAGGCAGAGCGACTTCAGTAGTGCTAATAAAGACAGCTCTCATTGACAAACAAGGGATTTCACATGTCATGTAACTTGGGGTCTCACAAGTTGAATCCCAAGTCGTGGCAGTGTGAATCAAGCCTTTTATGAATTCAAAGAAAATAATGTAAATAAAAAAAAAAACAAAAAACAAAAAAACCATAAACCATTAAAATTAGAAAGTACAGAAACAGAGTTTCAGCAATCTGAAACTCCTCACTGATATTGCCAAATCCAAAGCCATTTAGATCTTCCAAGATTCTTCCTGGTCAACATTTGCCTACCCCCATCCTCCTTTCTACACATTTTTCTTGGCAGTGAAGGCAGCCTATCCCAGAGATGGGCCAATAGGAATATCTAAGGTTTGGGAGGGGGAGGATATGATTTGACACTAACAAAAAGTGTGAAAGCTTTGTTGATTTAACTTGGAAATTGGGTAGTATGGTGAGAAATTGCAGGTTGCTGAATATAGATATTCCTGTGCTTTATGCAACTTTTTTTGTGATGTCACTTTAAGCCACTTACTAAAAGAAATTCTTTTTTTTAATTAATTATATTTTATTGCAGCTATTTTAAAATAAAGAAAAACATAATCTCCTCAGGCTGCCTCTATAATATTATTCATTATAAATTAATTATTCAGAAAACACAGCAGTGGCTTGGAAACACTCTTTTATAATGCTAACAAGCATGTCTGGGCTGACTAACATAAAGTGACTTTTATCCAACAATATCAGTAGATAGCCTTGCTAAATGCTTCCCTACCCTGTTAGAAGCTGCATCTTGAGAGAAGAGGAAGATACTGTATAGTTGAGTAGGAATATATCATATACTTTTTGAATGATTAGTGTTTTTTTGTCTAATATTAAATTGGTGGTTGCTATGGAACTGTTTCATAGTTGCCAACATTCAAAAAACCTTTTAGGGACACTTTTTTTCCTGTATGTCCAGCAAAGCAACGTAGGCAAAGTAGTATGCTAATTAGGGGAGGGGAATTAATTTGTGGTTGTGGTTTAACCTGAAAAAGAGGTGTGGCAAAAATTGTTTCAAATTATGCTAAATATTGGGCATGGCTTAACGGGGGTGTGGTTAAACAGAGTCTGAGATTTTCTTAGGCTCCCCCCATGCAATTTTGCTCTCCACCCCAACATTCCAAAAAAAAAATATACACATACATAGACTTAGCTAAAAAAACTTTAATAATTTAAATATAAAGAACTGGTCCACACTCAGTGATTGGTTGCTAGAGGTTACAGCACATCATTACCGCTCACTGATTGGTTTCTAGAGGTTACTGCAGTTAGTACAGGGCTATGGTCAGAGAGTGCAGGAGTAGTACAGGAGTTGGTCAGAGACTGCAGGAGTAGTACAGGAAATGGTCAGAGACTGCAGGAGTAGTACAGGAAATGGTCAGAGACTGCTAGTACAAGAGATGGCCAGAGACTAGTACAGGAAATGGTCAGAGACTACAGGCGTAGTACAGGATTCGGTCAGAGACTGCAGGCGTAGTACAGGAGAGGGTCAGAGACTGCAGGCGTAGTACAGGAGAGGGTCAGAGACTGTAGGAGTAGTACAGGAGAGGGTCAGAGACTGTAGGAGTAGTACAGGAGTTGGTCAGAGACTCCAGATGTAGTTCAGGAGATGGTCAGAGACTGCGGGCATGGTACAGGAGATGGTCAGAGACTGCCGACATAGTATATGAGAGGGTCAGAGACTGAGGGCATAGTACAGGAGAGGGTCAGAGACTGCAGAAGTAGTGCAGGAGAGAGTCAGACACTGAAGGAGTAGTACAGAAGAGGGTCAGAGACTGCAGACATAGTACAGGAGATGGTCAGAGACTGCAGGTGTACTACAATACTGTGTCAGAGACTGCAGGAATAATACAGGAGAGGGTCAGAAACTGCAGGAGTAGTACAGCAGAGGGTCAGAGACTGCAGACGTAGTACAGGAGAGGGTCAAAGACTGCAGGCGTAGTACAGGAGAGGGTCAGAGACTGCAGGCGTAGTACAGGAGAGGGTCAGAGACTGCAGGCGTAGTACAGGAGAGGGTCAGAGACTGCAGGCGTAGTACAGGAGAGGGTCAGAGACTGCAGGCGTAGTACAGGAGAGGGTCAGACTGCAGGAGTAGTACAAGAGATGGTCAGAGACTGCAGGCGTAGTACAGGAGAGTGTCAGAGACTGCAGGCATAGTACAGGAGAAGGTCAGAGACTGCAGGCAAAGTACAGGAGATGGTCAGAGACTGCAGGCATCCCTATACAGGCCGCTTTCTCTCCCCCCCACACAAAAAAAAACAAAAAAAAAACAAAAACAGGAAGTACATCAGCCATATACCTGTCTCCTGTACTGGCTTTGGGCCTCCTCAGTCCTCTGTCTGCTCAGGTCTCTCGTGGCCTCCTGTGTCTGTACCGGTTACTCTCTGGTCTTGTCTGCAGTTTGCCAACAGCTGAGAGCAAGAGTCCATCTCATCCACTGGCCTCTTCAGCAGCAGCTTCCTCTCCCTCTCCATGTGCTAACAGGAAATGATTGCCCTCTGCTAACCCCACCCCCTTGCTAGTACTAACCAATCATGCAAGAGAACGGCACCATGTGACCTCCTGCAAGCAGAGGAAGTGGGGTGAGGATCTGACTCCCTGAAAATTAACCTCTGCTTACCCGATTTATCAGTGCCAAACTTATCTGCTGTTCGGGACTCCGGCAATTCTTCGTGA